GCAGACCAGAAAGCTACAGGAGCACCCCAAGAATCGGGATTTGGAGTCTTGTTGGTGATATCCTCGGGGACATTAAGTCTGGAGAAGTGCCAAATCCGGATACCCTCCTCGTTCCAAAGGGCGGCGAACACACCACCTCCGGCGCTGTTGAGACCGATTCCGTAACTGGTGGTGTCGGTACTCAAAATTCCACATCCGATGTTATTGTCCACGTTGGAGTCGCAGATGGTCGATGCGACTTGTCCAGTAAACTTGCCATCGTATAAAGACTGGGCTTCCTGGTTTTGGTTCGAAGCGTCGAGTGTGCAGCCTGGGGTGGTGTGAAGAGTAGATTGATTGATTGTCGTGTTCTGAGTGCCTTCAATGATATCGATTTCACCCCCCGCAGGCCAATTGGCACCATTGGACCAATAAGCAGGCCAGACAGAACATCCATAACTAGATAAGCGTGTTTCCATAAGTTTAAAGGGTTAAAGTCATTGGAAAAAAGATACGTACGGCATCTGGACGATGTCGGCGATGAAGAGTCCTTGTCCATACGATTTAGTGGTGTGGACGCGAACGCTGTTGCGCTTCTGGCCTTCTGCGAGCCAGGTCGTGTTATCCACACGCATGACTGCAATGCCGTCCTCTCGCACGTAGGCCAATCCGCTTGCAAACGCAGTGTCACGGTCTACGTATTGTACCAAACCATGAGTTGGATCGTCGAAAGTCATGAAAGTCCAGGAGCTACGTCGAGTTAGCTTTCACACGAAGACTATGTATCTATACGCATAGCAGGAAAGTCTGACATACTCGAAAAAGTTTTGTCCTTCCGCGCTGTCGACAAGATTATAGGTCCTGCCCTGTCTACCAGCGAGACGTTGAGCTCGAGCATTGTGTTGAGGGTGATTGTTAGTGATAGCGTCGTGATTGCTAGCCTGGACGATCGTGGCGGCGATGAACAAAAGGGAAGAAAGGCGTAGCGAGACCATTATCTTCGTGGGTCGTGAAACAATGTTATTTTTTCCTTTTGCAGTTTGGGTTTTCTGCGACTGCGAACAAAGACAAAGAGTAGCTTGGACTTGCAAGCTGGAGACAGCGCAGCTGAAGAGACTGAGACCAAGAGCGAAAGGCGAAGAGGAGGCAACCTGGAAAAAACCACCTCAGGCCACGCAGCCAGCCAACCAGCCAGCCGCCATCGGTTCTGCACATCTTATTGACCACGCCCCACCCAATCACGGCTTGGCATCAGCCATGAGGCTCGCCTATTCGGGTAATCTCTCTTCGGGCAGCCATTGTTCCCCGAGTCTGATTATGGAAATAGGTCCCCCCACATTTTTGCATTTTTTTTGCAGAATCAGAGTAAAAATGATGATACGATATAATTACCATTAGTGCTAGCATCAGGCGGCCAACGTAAAAAAAGAAACCAGGAATGGTCAACATGGGGGTCGAACCCAGGACCTCCGAGTTATTAGCTCGGCGCTCTAACCGACTGAGCTAGTCGACCAATTGGTGATCATGA